ATCTGAATGTCTATTTCAGTATTCTAAATGTTATTAGAATAAGCTGAAAAAGGCAATCAGTTAGCAAACATTTCTTTATAAGATAGTATAAGCTGCCAAATATAAACTGACGAATAATTCAATCATTTGGTGCAACCTTTCGACTAGAATTTAATAAACTTTTTTGTAAAATCTTAAGTTCCATGAAATGTTTTGGGTTAGACAAGATGGCGTGACATAATTTATGGACGATCCCTTAAAGGATCTGGAATGCCATAGCCATTCCTGATCCTTTGCCAGATCCAAGCCATTGTTTATTTGTATATTGTATCCCGTACCAAAGAAGCAGATTTGATTGTAATATGTTTCAAGTGGACCAAATACTATGCAATCTAAAGGCTGAAGCAAATGTGAACATATAATTTTCATATAATATGAATATTATTTTTGATGGCAACAATAATTCAACCGAGTCATGAGAACTGCAGCCATCAACTATTAGAACTATTAGAACAACAAGTAGAATTAGAGCTTACCTCTACCTATGTTAGGCAAGAAAGTATTAGTAAACCAAAGATATGCAATCCCTTGCTTTTTCCAACCTGTTTCACTAAAATTCTAACTGGAGTCTAGCTGTGCATCTCTAGTATTGAAAGATTGAAGAGATCTAATTGCTTTATCTCTTTTGGCACTAAACCACCTGCAGCATTTATAGCAGCAATAATAGTTATGGTTTCATGTTTTTTAGATGTACAGTCATAGTGAAGGTGTTTTGTACCTTTTGTATTTTTTACTTAAAGGAATCCCAATCTCCCGACACATGTTGTGTTCATATTAAAGATAGTGTTAAAAAAAAAGTTTGAACCAAGTTTTTTTGTTTAAATATAAATAATGAATGCATACCGAGAAAAACTAACATAGTTGTTTTAGCCGAAGCTCGCCTTTCCCATTTTTTCAATAACTTGGAGTCTTTAAATTATACGCCGCAATCTACAGACTTTGGCGACGTCACAGTAGACTTTTAACAAATGAAACTCTGGAAATATTTTTATTCCAACTTTTTTTGATTATTTTTTTTTTTTTTTTTTCTATATTTTTAAATATTTTAATATTTAAAAAGATTTGCTGGTTCGTTGCTATAAATTGTTATTGCGCCATATATTTAATGTTTATAAATTATGAATATTTATTATCTCAATCAAGACTCTGATTTAAAATTTATATATACATGTGTATATATATATATATATATATATATATATATATATATATATATATTATATATATATATATATATATATATATATATATATATATATATATATACATGTATATATTATATACATGTATATATGTAAAATTGTTTTACATTAATTACCCGTATAAAATTTGTAAAAGCATTTTTATTTGGTTAGATAATATTTCGTCTCAATTTTCTTTGCATGAAGTTCGGGAAGTCAAGCGAAAAAAATTAGTTTGAATAATCACTTTGAAATATATTAACAATTACTTTCATAAACTGACAGTATTAATTAGAGATATTTGATGAATTGTTAACTTTTTTTATTATAAAATTTTTTTGATTACGCTGATTTAATTTAAATTGCTAAATTTGCTGAATTGGATACGGATAAAAAGGAAATATCATTTTATTTTACATTTGATTTTTGATAATGAAACTTTTAAAATGTTGGCATTTACCAATTAGAACCTGTTAAGGTTATGACAAAAAAGTACAAAAATACACTAAACAATACAGTTGACAGTAGTATCAGATATGAAAATTCGTGAAAGTGAGATCCTGATTTTCCATTAAAAGTACAATCAATAGCAACACAAGTCGGCATTACAAATTTTGATTATAAGTTTACTGTTCAATATTTTATAGCCATCAAATAAAAAACATGAAGTTTGTATATTTTCACCCGTTTTATACAACTAATATTTAACAAAAATACGGACAAATTATTATTATATAACGCAATAATTAACACATTAATTAATGGCAATAATTCAATATAAATGGTAATTGCAATTGTCAAAATATCATAACGTGCGTTAAAAAACATATTATGTTTGGTATTTCTCAATTTGTGTCATATTTGGCACTTGTCTCTTAACATGAAAAATTAAAATTTTTTTAAAACACAACAAATACAAATTTTCAAGCTATTTTCTCTTTTAATTTTCATTTATTTAAAGAAAAGTTACTAATAAACTTTTATTTCTCTTATCTAAAAAAAAGAATGAGTGACGTAAAAAAAAAAAAATTCTATACAACTCTTATTCATTTGGGTTTAATTACGCGAAACCTTTCTTTTTCTTTTGTTCTACTCTTTTATAAAAAGAGCGAGCAATGAAATAAAAACTTTTCTTTCTTAACATAAATTTATACTTAGAGATAAAATTAAATTAGAAATAAAGCAACAATGAACAAAGCAACTAACAGATTAATCTGGGACTACTTTGATATTATTGAAAATAATCAACATAAACAACATTACCAACAACAATTATCAAA